GTGCCGTTTGACGGCCATCTGACTTGTGCGCTCTGGAGCGCCATGGATGAGACGGTGCTCTCCGAAAGCGCTTGGTTTCCAAAAGGTGAGCTATTTCTTCTCAGTACCGCTCAGACATATGGGTGCAATCCCTGTTGACTTACCATGGAGTGTGAGCAAAGGCAGACCTAGCCATTTGCGGCAATGAGATGAGATTAGAGCTTGAGGAAGCCGATTAGACAAACCTGACAAGCATCAGGTCTTCGGGCATTGATCTTTACTTTTAAAGCAGAACGCAGCAACATGATATGGACGGCCGCTGGCAGATTGAAAGCCGTCTGTTCGCTTGTTCACAACCTAACGTATAGTGACATCGCACGTTTGATAGAACTCACCCGCACGTTCCTTGGAGAATCCACGCAATTGTCGAAAAGCGCTGTCGGTAGCGCATACTGGTAGGATTCCGCAGTCATCGACCAGAGTGAACAGGAAGTTCAAGGTAGCATCCAGTGTTCCGTCTGCGGCCAGTAGTTGTCATCGGGCGGTTAGCGGACTTTTGAGCCTCGAGTAAAGTTCAATCCAAATGCCGTCCTTGTTCGCTTTGTTCACACATGGCCCCATGTATTGAGCGAAAATGGCAATGCGACGCTCAATGTCTGACAAAGAACAATGAACGCGCAACTTCGGGTCGTTCTTATCGAAAGTTGGGAGTTCTTTTCCTTCTTTGTTACATGACAGAACTGAAAAGTCCAGAAGGGCACAAGTTGATTGGCATTGAGCCGAATGATTCGGTAGACAAACGGGTATAAAAGTCATAGTCGCAAGTATGCGCACCAGCGCTTCATTCACATGATGGCTTTCTATGACAAGTGCTGCGAAAAAGCGAGGAGGTTGTGCCAAAAGCCTCACCGCGCAGTTTCTATGCATATAAACCAGCTCTCTCAGTATGATAAGATGATGCTGGAGGTGGATCAGATGCCTCCAGGATATTATGTGGTTGCCGGAATCCTGTCGTGGCTCTTGCTGGCGGGGTTTCTTGTATCCCCCTCCACATACGCCTCTATGCGAGACTCGGATGTCCTGGATAGCACCAATAAGGTCGGCAAGTCCCTCATGGGCTCCGTGCGAAATGTGCCACTACTTTACATAGCGTCCTTTATCTGTTTGTTCGCCACAGCTGGGCTTGGGTGGCTCTGGTGGCGTTGGCAACACAACTATATTTGGGTCACTCGGTATATCATCGTGTAAGCCGGACTGGAGTATAGCCATACGGACTCGCTAACGAAGTAGGCCAACTTTAACCAACTCGGCCATGGGACTGATCTCGACTTTCCTCAATGTTTACAGTATGCAGGATGGGCAGTGGTCCATCACTGCCATCATTACCGTGTCCATCATCGGCGCGTGGTTCCTTGCGTCATGTGTTCTCTTTACTTTCTACAAAGGCCTTCTCTTACCGAGTTTGAAGGACGTCAGGTGGCCACAGGCGAATTAGGTGGGTATACGTTTGCTACGGGGTTCCTCGGCCACAGCCGAGTTTTTACATTGTTTCTGAAGACTGCGAAGGGACTGAACTCACTACCAGGCCCAGGCGTCACAGTAGATAGTAGAAATATCCAGGCACGCAGGTCCTCGAAGTATTCGCAGCAGGGATAGAAAGGAAAAGAAAGCGGACTACGAGTGCTGGCCATCCATGGCTCATCGGTCAGTGAGCAAATCGAGAATGCCGACCGCTTGATATACGTCAAAGATAGTCTGATATTGCCTTATACCAATATTTGAATTAGTTTTTCCTGATATTGAGGCTTGAGAATGACTTGGACATGGTAGTTGTCGTTTGACTGTTTTCGGGTTGCACTCGAACTCGCCCTTGCAACATGCCGCTTCCAATGTGCGCAGCAACAGTGCGCGTTTGGCTGAAAACTCGTATTGAGTTTTTCTGAAATTCAGTCCCAAGCCCGACGAGCTGGAGTTCAGTACCTTGTGATCAGGTGTTGGCGAGGAAAGTAGAAAGCCAACGATAGCGCGGTCGTCCCCTTCCAGCCGGGTGTGTGGTCAATTTTGCCAGTTGAGCTCCAACCGGAAGAGAGTGTGTGTTTGGAATACTTCAAACATTGTACCACTAGACAGACATCGTTTCCTGGTGATCAAGCCTTGCAGTTGTGGAAGAAGAGAAGGCTCGAAGCTCGCTGTTTACGAGAGAGGTGACTGGCCTTTAATTAGTCGGTAAATGATTCTAGAGGCCTTGCTGTGAGGAAAAAAGACTATTGGTTACCGCAGCCTCCGGCCGTATACTAAAGCCCTTGCTTCCTGATGTATACCCCATGGCAGAGCTACACATGCTCTCGCCTCGGCAGTTAATCCACAAGCAGCATTGTAGAGCGAATATGCCATGTACATTTTAATATCTTCCATCTTATATGTCAGCTTGATAATAAAGAGAATCCTGTGATAAAGCTAGATCGTGATTTTTCTTGGACACCATCCCATTACTGAACACCCGACTCGTCATCAATCCCTATCACGAACATACATCGAACCCCTTGCATATGCCAATATTCACAACAGTGATCATGCTAACGGCAAGCCATCTGTGTAGTTTCTGCTTTTCATCAAACCACTCACTCAATCCTGACCGTATATGTTTGACGCGTCTTCGTGACTTCCAAATTCAGGAACCTTGGTGACTCCTACGAGTTGGCGCCGAAAATGTTTCACGCGATGCGTGTCTTCTGAGATACACCACCAGCCAGCCTACCCCCGCAATCATCGCGGAGACGAAGGTGGTCGGCAACTGGAGGTCTCTCATGGGAGGGGTATTGATTGGGGTCCATGCCATAGCCGATCTCATCAGGAAGGGACTTCTCAGTTAGCATGTGGCAAAGACGTTCTCGGTCTGACTCACAAAAGTAAGCGATACACCAGTTTGATACAGCGGGACCGAACATGCGACCATAGCCAGGCAATGAAGATCACGGGAAGGAACCCCGCGACCAGGAAACAGAAAAGCAAGATTAGGCCCCAAAGCATGCAAGGCATGATGCTCATTGTTGTGGGTGGTCTATTTGTCCGTGTCATCGTCGAAAGAGACACAAGATAGGCGTTCTTGAGCCAAAGAAACCAAGAGCACAAAGCAGAAGCGAGGACTGGGGCTTTATGGTGTATATACTGACGAAGTAGATCGTTTACTTTGTCAATGAGACGCTGGAAAGGGGACAGTGCGAGATTGTCGCGCGACGCTGTAGGCTGCTTTGGAGGTGCCGAGTTATTCATGGCGATTACTGTCATTGATAAGCTGTCTTCTTTGCCTTTATGTCATATGTGGCCGCCTGGAAATGGACGAAAAGCTTGGAGCAACGACAAGGTCTCCAAAGCCGCAGGTTCCGACAGTTAATCGGGCGAAGCCGGCAGCTTCTGGTTATCAATGCAAGTGCATCACCTTAGGTCGGAGCTCCCACCTGGCATCTTGTCATTGGAGTTGAGTGTTTGGGAGCGGCCATATGTCGGGGTGCTCTGTGCTCTATGATTCCCACGAGGCAAGATGAAGTTCACAAATGGAACCCCGGCCTTTAAAGCATCCGGGATACACAGGAGACACTCGAAAACCATACACACTATGCACGTCGATCCACCAAAAAAGCGCGATCGCACACGAGAGAATTTCTCGCGCGCCATGTTTCGCCTGATGAAGCGCTGTGACGCGATCAGCAAGCGTTATCCGAACACTGATACATACTTGCTCATCCGTCAAAACCAGAAACACTATCAATACAATTCGACGACACACAACTCGAAATTTCCCACGCCGCCGGCTGAGTTAGTAAGTTCAACTGTTCTAGCTACCCTTCAAAGTCTGACCCTGGAAGGACATAACATATCCTCCGACGGTAACACGAACACCGGCGTCATTTTCCGAGGGGAAATACTGCTCCGGGAGATAATATATAAAGAAGGGAGAAGGATAACGGATAGGTGATGGCATACATTTTACGCGAACAGGAGGTCACACCGAATGTGTGTAGGAGTTGGTGATATACTAGTTATGCTAGATACGGATGGGTCGATTGAATTTAAAAGAAGGCCACCTCTCCTGAGAACCACTATCATCCCCATTGGGTTGCTCGGATTGACTGGTATCTTGATAAAAAGAGACCGCGTGCGACATCGAGTTTTTACTCGGCTTTGCATCCCGTATCCTGGATTCATACGAATTGGGTAGCAAAGATCCCAACAATACGGCCTGAGTTTCCCCGACTCTATGTAAGCCGGGATGTAGCACTAATTGCGTTTTTATTTGAAGCGGCGTTAAAGCACACCCTCTGTCCTTAGGCGACTAAGGCGTCGCGCCAGGTGTAGTGACTCTAAAGATTCTGGATCAGAGCAGTCGGCGTAACGGCTATGCCTAAGCCGTTGCGCCAAGGGCAAAAGATCAGACATTGATCGAATGACGAGCGATCGATACAGGCGTAATAGCTGCTGATAGGGGATACGAGGGACTGCGGGTTGGGCTTGGGCCGGTAAAATCAAAGCCCTCTACAAGGACAACTGAGAAAACCCATCACCATCCGGAAGGCTGCCAGCTTAGTGGGGCCATGCTATCACTCCAGTGGGTAGGAAGGCCCCTGGAGACTTCTAGAAAAGCCGGCTACCTGTTATGGTCCGGTTTTCCGTGGCCGTATCAAGGTCCATGCTGGCTCTTTGTGGACATTTCTGCAAGACGCCCATATCGCTATTATCACATCCGCCCCACCAATAAGAGATATGATGCTAGGTGCCAAGTCCTATGTATCTTGTGGCTCGCGGCGGAATCGGAACAGGACGTTATTGCCCGATTATGGATGCATCGTTATCCGCGATCATGGTCCGTACCAAACTCTGACCTCGGTACCAAAGCGCAGTCCGATCTGAGATTCTTAAAAGCATGACGTTACGCTAATACACTTACGCGGAGCATCGCCTCTTGCCCATCGTGTTTCGACCCCCTCATAAACGATACAGCTCCCTTTATAATGAGCTCCATTAGTTCCTACGGAGATGATGACCTTTGTGAGGTAAGGTCTCCCACGGAGGTTGGCTCTCCCACGAAACTTGACTCTGACGAGTCACCGCCTGTGGCTGGCAGTGAGGGCAACTGTCTTCGTACGGAGGATCTGAAGCGTTTAATGGACGCTCTAGGCGAGCGCAGCATCAAGTTTCAGCGAATGAAAGACCAAGAGTGCCTCCCTGAGGCGATGATGCACGATCAAGGTGCGGTTGCTCCGGCGGTCGTGGTGTCTCCATCCAATGAATCGGAGGTGGTTCAAACACTGCAGATCCTCACCAAACTTGACCTCTACCATGGCGGCCAGGCTGTGTCGGTGAAGAGCGGAGGCCACGGTTATTTCAACGGCGCCACATGCGCCGATATCATGATCAACTTATCGGCCATGAGGCAGCGCAAGATCGAACATAACGTTCTCACATTAGAGCCTGGCTGCCTCCTGGGCCATACCATTGACCTGCTCGCCAGGAACCACAAGGCGGTGCCTCATGGAGACTGCTTTGGCGTCGGCGCGGGTGGCCATTTCACCACCGCTGGCTGGGACATCCTGCTTGCGCG